GTCAGAGGCAGTGCGGTTGGCGCAGGATAGAGCGGGTTTAGGACTGTTGTGCATAGGGTCGCTATGAGTCGAAAACGACTCGACGGCACATAACAACAACAACAACAACAATTTCTTGGATGTTATGAAAGGACAGTAGTAACAATAGCAACAACAGTGCTGAGAACAGAGAAGCTGGAAGCCGAATAGGCAGCAAGGGCTTCAAGAGGCAGATGCGCTCATCTCAGCTCCACAAGGAGGACCTTGACGGCTGTACGGCCTCAGGGACGAAGGAATGTGTTACCAGACAAGGGACCCAACACTGTCAACACCAGCAACATAAGTAACTGCAGGAGTAGTCGTTATAATATTTCCATTAGCAATACTGCCTCATTATTACAGTACCAATGACATTTTAGACAACAGTAGATCAAAAGCTATTATTGAGGTATTTTATAATACCAAGATTTAAGTATAATCACTCTATCAATTCTGACCTTTTGAGAACTATAATCACTCTTCCTTAAGCACATACACTAGTACCACTAAGCTCCCTCCTCTGTCAGCTGGTGTGCACTGAGCAAGCTGTAGCCTTCGGCATGCTGGGTGCAGCCTGGTGTGCAGGTGGAAGCTCTGAAGGGCTTCAGAGACAACTATGTCCTGCATCTGTGTTTATTGACCTTTACTGTCTTAATCTAGGCTCCAGACAGGTATTCAGGATGCCTTCAAAAAACACCAGCGCACAGCAGCCACGGTCCCATCAACCAGGTTATGATGTCCATCTGAACCAAGCTTCAAAACAAGAAGCATCATTGTCTTTAAGTCAGAACTGAATTACAGCTGACAAGCTAGTGGGTTTTTAAAGGAAGGAAAAAACCAAAACAAAACAAGAAGCATGTGACTGAGGCCCTACACATGGCCAAGTTCAAGTTCCCTGGGAGTCAAAAGATCCACATCTCCAAGAAGTGAGGCTTTACGAAGTTCAACGTTGATGTGTTTGAAGACATGATGGCTGAGCAACTCCTCATCCTACACAGATGCAGAGTCAAATATATGTCGACTCATGTCCTCTGGACAGTGGCAGACTCTGCATTCATGAAGGCTGGGTAGTGCTGCCCTGGCCAACCTGTCGTTGTTATGTGTTGACAAGTCCCCTGAGTCTCATAGCGACCCTATGGACAACAGCTCTAAACCCTGCCCTGTCCTGAACCACTATCACTGGCTCTGACACATCTAATACCATTGTCCCTAAAGTTAACATGTCAATCCACTTCACCCAGGGTTTTCTTCTCCTGAGCTGTCCCTCTACCCTTCCAAGCATAATG